CTGATTGAGGGTATATTTCCTTTTCAAATTCTTTCTCGAATTCACTCGAGTCAAATTCCATGTCTTCCTCGGATACATCCATTCCGACATGCTTAGGATCGATGTCCTCAGTGACATCTACCATGCCTACAAAGACCGAATTTGTTAATCGGACATCATCAGTAATGCCCGTTTGGGATTCGAGGTATCCTACTTGAGCCTCGAATGGACTCGTGTCAACTTTCATTGTCATTTCTTTGAACCTCAACCTTCCTTGGTCGATCGCATCTTGGATTGTGTTCCTGAAATGTATACAATTGTTAGTCCAATGTCCATAAACATTATGATATTTGCAATATTTTTGACCATTCCTTTGTTCTGCAGACGGTAGTTTATGATCATCACTCAACTTAATCTGTTTGTCTTTCAATAAAATATCAAAGATTTTGTCTGCTTTTGTTACATCAAAAGTATATGTTCGATTTGTCATTTTATCTTTGACTTCATTTTTTTGTAGCAGTTTACAAGTATATGGAGCCCCTACTTTGAGTTCTGCTATGTTTACTTTCTCATCGACAATTTCTTCAATATCATTTTCTGTCATGTTATCCGTCTCATATACATCATTTATGTATGCTATTCTTTCCTTTTTCAAAGGTTTCTCATATTTCTTATACCTTTGTTTCTCATACTCTATTTGTTCCACTCTTCTCACTTTATCAGCTAATTGAGCCATGTCATTCAATGGTAAATTGACTAGTTTTTTCCTAATCGAGAATTCTAAACCTACAGAGGCCATTCTGACTAATTCATATTCAGGAATTTGAGTAAAGCATCTTGATTTCATTTGTCTAAATCGATTCAAATAATCATCTATACTTTCATGATTGTATCGTTTTATGTTCATCAAATCGATTAGACTTACTTGGGTCTCTCCTCTAAAGAATTGTTCATGAAAATTTCTTTCTAACTGCAACCAATTATATATCGAATTGGGCGGTAACGAAGTGAACCAAGTAAAAGCATTCTTAGTCAAAGAGCTAGGAAAATATTTCATCTTTAATTCTTCACTCATCGCTAAATCCCCGCATTCGATCTGATATCGAGCCACATGCTCGATAGTCGATTCACCAACTTCTCCAGCAAATTTAGTGAATTTGGGCACTTTGTATCCTCGAGGTAATTCCGTCTCGAGAATCGCATTGGGGAAAGGTGACACAAAATATGTCTGATTGGGTGGTCTAAATTCCATCCCTTGTAAATTCATCCTTTGTCCCAACATATTATTCTGATTGTGTATATTTTGAAATCCTTCGTTCAAATTCCCATAAATGTCATTCCTCACGTGTTGGTACCCATTTCCCATATGCTGATGTTGATCATTGTTTCTATTTCTCCTCAATAGATACGAAGGATTATTAGTAGCATGATTTTCTACCCTCGTTTGTCGAGGTATAGCCAATGCATCCCCGATTCGTGACATTTGGTCCGCTAATATCTCAAAACTAGCATTAGTGTTTTGCACTAATGGATTTAAGACTGTGGTCAACTGTTGTGATAACATATTCACCATTTCAAAATTACTCTCATCCATTTGTTGTCTAAGTACCCCTAATGAATTACTAGATATTCCGGTACCCATGTTTTCAATAGAATCAAAATTAGATCGATGATAGTCTCTGTCGAATACATGTCTCCCATGCTCTAAGTTTCCCCTATGATCTAGATTTGGAGATATCTGTTGTGTGCCTACATTCTGTCCACTCCCTGTCTGGGGAATTACTAAGTTTTGAGATGTCCCTAAATTCGGAGGAATTCCAAAATTTTGCGGCATACCTAGTGTTTGGGACATTCCTAAGTTATATCTCGAATTCCTATGCGCTGAAGAAGTTCCAACCCCACTTACACTATTAAGTGAAAACCCGGGCGGTCTTACGCTCATACGTGGCCCTACATATGTAGTGGTGGGATTTCCTATAGTTTGCGTATTATTTGGTGCAACCACACTAGATCCTATTTGAGTATTCGCTAAAGTGCCTGAATTTTGTTCATTACTCACGGGTATCGACATACTTACAGTTGTCGATACTACAGGCGTGTTCCCATTATGGTTTTGCCCCCCAGTATTTGGTGGGTGTGACCCATTTAATCCCTCACTGTTACCTTGGTTATTTGATGAACTCTGACTCATGACTCTCCCACTCCTTAATCTCATACCATTTCGAACTAACCAATTTTGTGTTTCTCAACACAAGACTCCCCTACCTGGCGCGCCAATTTGTTTCTGGTGGAATTTCGATCGATTTTGATTCTAAACAGTGTTATGGTCCTAATCGAAATCCTCCCACGTAAGTTCTTTTTACTTAGGCTAGCAGTCTGACTTTCAATCGAAAACGTGTATGAGGATCGAAAATCACAAGATATCAAGAAAGCTGTTTTTGGTATTTTGTATTTAAAGTACTGAAAGCAGTAAAGTATCGAATCGAGAAACAGAACATTAAATTGCAAGAAAATATAAAGTGCGAAAACCCCAAATTTGCATTAATTGTAAATGACGAGGAATCGAAAACAGTGCAAATATAAATGGCAGAAAATCAAAATGTGCAAGAAATGTAAATGGCAATAAATCGAAATTGCAAGAAAAGTAAATGACAGGAAATCGAAAATACAGAAACATAAACTTTCCTTGAATCGAAATGACTAAGAATAGAGAGTACAGAAACATAAAATTGCTGAAACATAAATTACCAAGGAAAATAATTGTAAATGACAAGAAACCGAAAACAGCGCAAATGTAAATGACAGAAAATCGAGCTTGCAAGAAAAATAAATGACAGGAAATCGAGATTTGCAGAATATTAAATAACATGGAAACTTAAATGCATAAACTTAAATTTTCATTGAATTGAAATGGACAAGGAATCGAAAATACAGAAACATAAAACTGCTGAATTTAAGTTGCATCGAAATAAATTACCAAGGAAAATACAGAAAGCGGTAAATGTACTCAGTGAGCAAGGAAATCCAGATTGCCAGAAGCTTCATGGTGTTCGTCGTTTCTCCGGTAGACTTTTCACTACTGATTCTGTTCTCTGCCAATTTCTGCTCCCCTGTTCCTTCCTCCTTTGCTCTATTTATAGGGCATCCTTCAAGCCTTCCAAGAGCAGTTAACACGACTGCTACCACGTTCTACGTGCGTATGGCAGTTTATCTTCTATAGTTTCTCACGTTCTCACGATCTCCGACTTTTTCCCATGATTTCAAAACTACTCTTTATACGTGCATTCGACTTACTTCCTTTCACGATTTGGCCAAAGTCTCGATGTCCACATTGGCTTTCTTTACTCTCGATTCTGTATTTTTCGAGAACTTCGAATTGCTTACGATTCCTTTTTAACCCTGGTCTTGTATGACTTAGTTTTTATTCGACAACAGTCATTTGATTATTATTCATTCGATTCTCGATTGTGCTTCTCGATGCTATATGCTACGTATTTCTAATTAGACATCGAATGAATTTTTGTTTATCTTATCGAGTCACATTTCTTTCCTTCGATTTCGATCGCTTTTCTCGATTTGCCACTAAAACATATTTACGTTTGTTTTATTTGATTTAATGATAAAGATAAAAAGTTCGTCAAATATATGTCTATCATATTTTGTAAACATTTTTTTTATTTGTTTATGTTTGGTGCGTAAATTTTTTTTTCCTAGAATTCTATTGACCTAACTCAGACATGTTATCATCGAAAAAGATTAAAAATAAAAAAGTTAAATTATTTCAAAAATTATAAAAAAAAATTCAACGACCTTTATCAAGGAACAGAGTTAATTTTTTTATAAACAAAAAATATTATTAAAAATAACAAAAATCAAATATATTTTAAGAACTAAAACATATATTTAAATTTTTTTTCTTGTAAATATGATTTAATATATTAATAATAAAAATATTTTTGTATTGCCAAATATTTATATTCATCTGGGAAAAAAATTAAAATATTTCTGACAAATAACCTTTACTGAATGATGCTACTGAAAACTTACATTTCAATTAAATGTATTTTATTTCTTGTTGAGATATGCAACATTTCATTATCGTTTAATATTAATATAATTTTTCTTTATGAATGTATTTTTTAATTTTACAAAAGAGTTTTAAAATTATCCCTGCAATAATAGAAAACTTTCTAGTTAATATCTTATTTTCAATTTTATTTTTAAGTCGACAATTCTGCTATTCATTTAAGTTTCAAAATATTTATTAATTGATATAAATTTGACGAAATGATATTAGTTTTTGCTAATAATTTTTTATTTATTTTACTCTCCGTAAACTTATTTTTTAAAATAATTAACATCATCAAATTTGAATAACATATCTTCTCCCATTGAAATATATCATGTGAACCATATATATGATATAACATATTTAGATATACATCATATCATTATATAATCAATACCAATTATATTTATCCGAGACATATTTAAAATATATAAATAAAATATATGATAAGTTGAATATTTTTAAGAGAGGGAGATATTCTTATAAATAATGACATAAATCAATTTGATAAAAAGAATATAATATTACATTTACTAAAATATTACCGTAGTTATTCAAGTTTTATTAAATTTAAGCCCATTTTATTACCGTAGTACTTATTTTTCAAGAAAAAAATATTACAGATAAACAAAAAATAAACAGCCCGTATATATATATTGAAGACATAAATATAGTACGTTATAATACTAAACTTCATGTGTTAAAATTCAAATACCAAACAATATATATTTACTATTGTAGCTGAAACTTACACATAGTGGATGCTATAAAGTAATAACAGACAAGTTTTAAGAAAAACAAAACACAAAATGTATATATTCGATGCTAATAAAGAGGGAACCTTGGGTTTATATAATTTGACGAACAAATGATTTAATATTGGGGTTAATTATGTTATTACGATTCGCAGTTCTTTAGACGCAGTTAGAGGGGAGCAGAATCACCACCAATAATGGAAGTGGTGTTAAAAGTTTCATTATTATTTATTTTATGAATAAAATAATATGAAATTAAACAAAATTTTAATGATTATATATATATATATATATATATATATATATATATGTATGTATGTATATAATAGCTATATACATCTTAAGAATAAAAATTAAAGTTCATTATAAATTAAATGGTTATAAATAAAATTAAACTTGTTTAAGTGAGAGTTTTGGATTTATAGTATGAACGTATTAAATCAATTGTGGTGAATTTGGGAGATATAAACCAAAATTTATTATTTAATCTTTTTATCATATCCAATATTAAAATTTAAATTATTTGTAATTTTTTAAATATTTTTAGATATTTAATTAGTCTAATTATAGATAAATTATTAAATTTATATTTAATGAATGTTGTTACAACTACTCGTATCATTATTTTAAAATCAATATTTATATAAGTTTCTCTAAAAAATATAATTTATCTAACAATGCAAATTCTAAAAAATTATTTAATCAAATTGAAAAAGTTATTTTATAAATATAAGCAAACTAGACCTTATGGTATAATTATTTGACTATTTTTTTTTAAGAATAAAAATTATCTCATTTTATTCTTATATTTATATAAAAAGATAAAAAGAAAAAGAAAGAAATTATTATAATTACTAACATAAACATTAAGGTACTTTGAAAATTCTGTAGATAAATTATACTTAATTTGATATAATATGTGCTTTAGTAAAATATATATTCTTTTATCTATAAAAAGACGTAGGATTGCATTGAAACATGCACTGCAAAGTTATTTAAAATTATTTTAAATATAATCCTCGATATAAAGTATTTGTTCATAAGTAGAAATGCTACGAATTATATGATAATTTGTAAAACAAATCACACCAACATTATAAAAGATGAAGAAATTTTACCATTAGATAACACTAATAATAAATGTAATAGGTTGAGATCTATAATTGAACATGTACGAAATAACATCAATAATTATATATAAAAATCTCGGTTAAATAAAATAATTTATTAAAAAAATAAAACAAAACATAATGCATTCAAAATTATTTATTTATTTATAAACATAAAAAAACTATGACATATAAAATGTAAAATGTTTATTTATTGAGACACATTAAAAAAAACTTTAAAACAAATAATTTATAATATATACTTTCATTATACCAATGTTAATAATTTATGTAAGAAAAATAAATAAATAAATTTTAAAAATATATTGAACATTGATCTTCCTTCATTAAATTTTTATTTCACGTTATTTTTTTAGTAAGATTTTAACAAAAGATACACTCTTTAATAGAAAGAGAATTTATGAATTATTATTACATCTCCATTGATATTATTAATCTTTATTTACCTTTTTTTTATTCCTCTATTTGGATATGTGTTTTAATTTTATAACATTCAAAATTATTTGATAGTATTATATTCTCAATGACTTTTTTATTCTTGTTATAAAGTTTCAATTAGAAGTATTTTATAAAAAACTTATTTGTTAAAAATGTGATTAGTATAATTAAACAATATTAATTAACTTTTTAGTTAGTTAAATTTATTTATATTTTAGTGTTGAAAAAATATCATTTAAATAGAAATTTATAAATATTATTAATTAATATTTTCATATAAAATATATATCCTAAATTTACTTCATCCATACTATTAATAAAGAGGTTGAATCTATTGGATTGTGGTGAGTCTATAGGTTAAATTTACTTCATCCTATATTTCCTAAATCTGTTGGATAGTGGGTGGGAGCTTGAATCTATTGGTTGTGGTGGTTTGGAGGGATCAGGACAAAGATGGTAACCTTTTTGGAAGTTGTTCTAACATAAAATCAATTAGATTTAAATCATACTAAATGACATCAGGTAGGCGATGTGAGACTTTTAATACACCCCCTTTAACCAGAAAGATGTTAGACTTTGACTTTGATACTATGTTAAGATTCCTATATAAAACCAATTCACAATATGTAGAATAGTCTAACATATATTTAAACCATACAAAATGAAGGTAGGCGATGTGAGACTTTCAACACCATGGACACTTACTGCACTTGTTTCTTTAGCTAAAACTATGTTTTCAGAATATCAGGCGCATGAAATAAACCACCATTTATAGACATGTAAGAAGCAAAAGAAGCCAAAGCCATGTGTGTTTGTCTACTTTATCTTCTAATATTCTCATGCACGCACTTTTATCACTACGTATGTATTTTTTTTTATTCTAGTTAAATATGTTCACTAAATTATAATAACTTACAATTTGGTAAATTTGGTACCTGTCATACTCCCTCCAACTTTAATTTTTATCTCTATCTTTATATTTAGGTAAAACGCCTCCATTTGATTGTTTAAAGTATATAGAATTCTTAATTTAATTCTAAATATATTAAAATATATTTTTTAAATAATTTTATTTTTTCGATTATTTTTCTTTTAAATTAATTGTTATATATTATCATTAAAAATACAATTTAGATAAAATATAGTTTAATTTATACATGTAACGTATAAGATTTATCTGCATCAAAAGATAAATATAAAATTTATTTATTTAATAACAGACTATTTGAAAATATTTACACTTTCTGAATTTAACTTTTCGTTGACTTATGTTCTGTTTACTGGAATCAGACCTGCGAATCAGGGTGGAAGTGCTCTGCGGAATATGAAGTACCAACATTTTACATTATACAAACGCTTTAGTCAATCTCATAAATGCTTAACTTAGAATTTTATACGTAAATGAGATAACTTACAATTTTATACGTAAATAAAAAATAAGTTATTAAGAATTATTGAGGAATAAAATGGAATATTTTATGTTATTTATAAATAAAAATAAGTATTTATTATGAATCTCATATATAAATTATTTAAAAATGGAAAAAATAATTTAAAATTGAAAAAAAATTATTTAAAATAAAAATAAATATTTTATTATGAATTTTACCTCTAAATTAATTAAACAAATTTAATTAAAATTAAAAAAAATATATTTAAATAAATAATTCTGATAATATTTTAAATAATTCAAAGAATTCATAATAAAATATTCAATTTTATTATTAAACAATTCTCCCTAAAATTTCCCATTAAAAATGTCTTAATATACTTTTAAAAAATTACTTAAAATTCTTCATTTATTCTCTTAATTATAGACAGATTTCAAATATCATGGAACAACTATTATTCTCCCTTCAATACTTTTTCTTTTTCTTTTTTTTTCTTCTTTTTCAGTTCTTATTTTTTCTCTATCCTCTCTCACTCCCTCTATTTTAATTATATAAATATACAAAGATTTAAACATAATAATATGATTACTCTATACAAAATAAATTCTGTTGTAAATTATATAATCCAAAAACTAATATATATTTTATTAAAAGCCTATATTTTAATATTTTTAAATTTAATACAAGTATTTTGTATCATTTATCTATAGTTTTATGAGAAAATAATTAATTTATACCAAAACTAATAAAATTGTTTAAATTGAACTTGTATAATTAATCAATCTTTTAATATTTTAAAATTAATATCTATTTGATTTCTTTACCCCTCTATTTTTCTTAGCTAGTCTGTAATTTTTCACCAAGATCACAATATTATAAGATATGGGGTAATAAATAGTTGGGCAAAGTATTTTTTTATCATAAATACTTTTTTTCTTTATCATAAAAAAAAGTAATTTGAGATTTGCAAAATGTTAAAGATATTATTTACAAGATTTGTAGAGAAAAAAAAAAAAACAGACAAGCATCTTATACCCAAATGGAGATTCCTTTTATGACAAGAACTTACGAAACTTTGCTTACAACATCGTATTTATATCATATGCTTAGTAAAAGAAATTACTCAAATCATATCTAATGTTGTTTTCTGCACCCATGATTATTATCTGCACCCCCATAATTTTACAAAAATTCTTTCTATATGTAAGAGCAGCTTATGAGATTTTTAGGAAGATTGGTGCCGTAACTTAATTAAGGATGTATGTTGAATTTGTTAATTTGGTTATTATGGCATAATTTGACTTCACGAGAATTTAAGAATTAAAAAAAAAATTGAGATTTTTTTTTCAAGGAAAAATTAAGATAATAAAAATTAATTATTCATAATTTTTATAATAATGTCGGCTAGAAGAGTGGACTGTAAAGGTGATTCATTATTTAAATTATATAAAATTGGATTATGTAATTTAATGTGTTGATTTTTTTTATGATTATAATTGAGATTGAATATGAGTTAATAATTGGTTTTTATGAAATCGAAAATGATAGTGTTTTGTATTGTAATTAAACGGAATTGATTTTTTATCTTGAATTGAATTAAGATTTTAAAAATTGGACTTTTGATACAGTTTTAGAACTGTTGGAAACATGCTTAATGCTTTTAAATTTGATTAACGAATTTAAGACTGAGGTGAAAACACTTAAATTTCGTTCTAACACTTTTAAAATTCGTCAGAACTTTTTTTAGTAGTGTTTAGGATTTGATTCTACATAAATTTTACTTTCACATAATTTAATTTAAAACGAAATTGGTTTCAATAAATTAAATTAAAAATATAATTTATAAATAAACACATATTGTTAACGTTGTTACTTAACCACAAAAGTAATAACAAAGAAAAAAATCAGAAACGAAGATCAGTTAAAATTTTAATTAAGAATTAAAAACAATAATATAAAAAAAGTAGAGAAAGGGCAAAATTTTAGTCTCTCTATTTTTTTTTATAATTTTATTTTATATATTTTAAAAATTTTAATTAAATACATTTATTTTGGCTTAATTAAATCTTAGATCTAGTAACGATTTAATAAATATTATAAAATTAAATATTTGATTAAAATACATCTTTTAAAATAAAAATAAGAATCATGAAAAATAAATAACGAATAAAAATTAAAATTACAATTTAGTCATAAGCGATGCCAAAGTTGAGTATGGCGAAGGTAGTCCCATCTCACTGGATCACCACTATTGCGGCGCCAATGTAACGGAACCTTTTCCACCCTTTTCTTCGAACCACCAACCAATTCGACGAGCGAAGCACGTGAAGAAGCCAAATTTTGGTTTTATACTTCACACCCTCCCACTTCCACAATTTTCATAACGCTCCTCTCTCATGTTTCCATCAACTGTCAGCCTGCTCGCTCGCGCACTCTGTTACTCCAGACGCCGCCGTTCCCCCTCAGAGCTCGGACTATGGCAGCCACTGACGACGGATTCGCGGGGGAGATAGTTATCAGCGGGAGAGAAGAATTCGGCGACTCATCCAACCTGCTCAGTGCGATTCTAGCAATGGTTCTGTGGCTGGGAGCTATTCACTTCAACGTTGCCCTCATCCTCTTCGCCCTCTTCTTCCTTCCTTTCACCAAATTCCTCTTGTTCGTTTCTATCTCTCTTTAAATCGCCTTTCTTCATTTTCCGATTCACATTAATTGAGATTTGATGGTTCACGTGCCAGGGTTTTCGGTTTTCTCTTTGTGTTTTCGGTGCTTCCTATCGATGAGAAGAGCAGATTTGGCCGAAGATTGTCGAGGTAGTTTTTCGTCCTCGTTACATTTTCGTTTTTCACAAGGCACAATTCGAATATCTCTTTTGGTACATTTCAGGTACATATGCAAACACGCTTGCAATTACTTTCCCATCACGCTTCACGTAGAGGATATGAAAGCCTTTGACCCTAACCGTACTTATGGTTTGTTTACGCTCCTTCTTCCCAGCCTAAGAGGAATTTCTCTTGAAATGGAGACATATATTAGAAAAAACAGAACGAAACATTAAATTTGTTTCCTGTTTTGATTTAGAGGGCGGAGATGTTTTTAGGTTCCTTGGGTTTGATTTAGGAAGAAACATAACTCTATGGAAGGTGGGACGATAGAAGAATGAGGGTTTTAGATCTTCATTTCCTGGAATGGCTGATTCGTGCAAAGTTTAACTAAATCCAAAGGGGATTAATTAAGTGGTGAAATGCTATTTTGATCTGCTCTGCAGTGATTAGCGAAGTGATTGCAATCTTGCAATGAACGCTACAATTTTTTAGTGTAACTAAAGCTTATCTCTTTTCTTTCCTGTTCCTGATGCAGCAGAGAAATGTCTTTTCTTCTTAATTTACCAATCTAATCTTATTATTATTATTATTATTATTATTATTATTATTATTATTATTATTATTATTATTATTATCATTATTGTTATTGTTATTGTTATTGTTATTGTCATTTTGGTTGACCCAATGCTCGTTGTTGTCTCTGCTTAGAGTTCTATCTTGGATGGGACTTTTTCTTTTTTGTGTGTTGTTAATTGCTATAACCGACAATGATGATCAGTCAATTTCGTGAGATTTCTACTCTGGTACTTTTTCCTAGCCGAAATAGATTTTTTTGCTTATCTGTATAAAATTAGGCTAACCATTAAACGTTTATTTCTAAGATTTGGTGTTCTGTTGGCTGCATTGACCATCTTTGCATTTCAGTATTTCACCATTTGATGTTTAGGATAGAGATTTTCATAAAACTACGTATTTTCTTAAATTGACCTCAAATATGACTGCTTAACTGTCCTTGTTGAAATAACTTCTTGCTTAACCTTGACATGAACTGGATAAAAAATTTGATAAAGTTTTAAACAAGCATAGTCTCTGGTTCGTCTCAGTTGGTGGAGATTTGTGTATATGTAATTAGCTCAATTTACAAGATAATTTATATTTTCTCATTGGTTAAGCCTTGGATAATTCCTATATTGCTTTCTATGAAAGACAAACTCACCGTATCTTTGGTTTTAGAGTTTTCCTGGTTATCTTGTTCCTATGATTGAATGGCATCTTAAGTTAATTTTCCTTTCACAGTATGGCCTAATTAGTCATTGGAATTCTGTTTATTTGTATCTTGTATCTTCTTGTTTGTGGCTCTTTTATCATAACAACAGTTTTCCCAACATGCAGTTTTTGGTTATGAACCACATTCAGTTTTGCCAATCGGCATTGTTGCACTAGCTGACCTCACAGGTTTCATGCCTCTTCCAAAAGTTAGAGTTCTTGCTAGCAGCACGGTAAAGCTTTTACTTGGGATCCTGTAACGATGAATTATGGTAATTGAGAATTTCGTTTCAAGTTTTTCTCTTCACATTTAATGGATAGGTGTTCTACACACCTTTTTTGAGACACATATGGACATGGTTGGGTCTTACACCAGCAACAAAGAAAAATTTTATCTCCTTGTTAGCATCTGGCTATAGTTGCGTTTTAACACCTGGTGGAGTGCAAGAGACATTTCTCATGCAGCGTGGCACTGAGGTGAATTGCTTTTCACTTCTCTTACGCAATGCTTACATTAGGTGATATTTTTTACTAAATTAAAAATTTGATTTCCCTCTACATATAGGACTGCTATTGATGCCAAGTTTAATAATACAACAGTTGGGGCAGGCAATTTTCCCAGCTATTGTGTCACTGGGGCTCAACTAAGAACTGCATGTTTTTCAAATTTCAATTGTTGTCTTTCCTTTATAATTTCTATCTAGTCTTAAGAGAGGAAAGAGAAATGCAGTTCGTTTACTTTATTTGGTCTGAGTTTTATGACCAATAACCCGAAATCATTCAGCCTACTATATTGTATTTCCTGCATGCCAATCAAACACTTGAGTTGTGTCTAGTCTAGGTGTGATAACTAAAATCTTGTTGAATGGACGAGAAAATATGGTGACTAATGTACAAATATCAATACAAAAAGGGTGTGTGTAATATATGTGGGAAGGAATAAAATAATTTAATATCATTGTAATTTACACCAACTACCATCAATAACTGTACACAAAATATAATTTTAATCAATCCAACCATTGAATTATAACTATATATTATGTTGATTGTGTGTGTTAAATTTTATAAAAATTAAACAAAACTGAGATGGAAATGAATTTTTTCTTAGTTGTATATATTTTAAAAAGGCATGCCTGTTAATTTTGATATATATATATATGTATATATATATATATATATTGTATATATATATAAAAATGGAGTATCAATTAATTTTTTGTATGCCTGATCTGAATGAGAGGAAATTTCAGTCTAATGGCAGTTTTTAAAATAAGCCTTTTTAATTAAATTTTTTTGAATGGTGTAATAGTTGGAGTAAGTTACACTTATGTTATTTAATTCTCATATATAACTTTTGTTTTCTTAGCTCCATCAAGTATGCTTCTTCCACTATAGGGATACTACCCAATAAGCTTTGGTTCTGTGTCATGTTGATTTTTACTTTATAAATATAGGCATACATAAAATAGGCCTTTTAAGAATGACTTTGCTCTATTCAATGTATATATATTTCATAGAGGTAACAAATCAGCTTGAACTTCACTTTGTAGATTGTTTTCCTTAAGGCACGAAGAGGATTTGTCCGCATAGCAATGGTGAAAGGCCTACCTTTGGTTCCAGTTTTCTGCTTCGGTCAGGTATTTATTTCTGATGGAGTCAAATTTCAGTTTACTATGCGACAATCATTTGTATTTCTCTCTCTCTCTCTCTCTCTCTCTCTATATATATATATATATATATATATATATATATATATATATATATATATATATATATATATCTTTCTTTTATTCTCTTGTATCAGGAACTGTATATCATAGAGCTCCTTTTTTTATTCATGGATGCATTCATGATGGCTTCCTCTGTGATTGCTGAGATGTTTTTCTCTTGGATTCCAATCAAACTTGATAATTATTTCCTTCACTGGCAATAGCAAGTTGAAGCTGTGATTGGTGACCACAAGCTTCAGTGCTTCATGGTCAATCTTTTCATTTTATCCCACTTAACTGAAAAGAAGGTTGTGAAACTGGAAGAGTGAATCCAGCATATTTGAAGTGTGATCAACAAGATCCTCTCCCTCTATTATGATTCTCTCAGCTTGCGTAGTTGGATTCTGTCATTCTTGGCAAGTGTAGGAGGAAGTACACGTCCAGTTTCATGCTCTCATTCATGCAAATCATATTAATTCTTCTAGGACATTGTCAGGTAGAAAGGCAAAATTAATCTGAGCTTCTACTTTGAATGGAGACCTACTGGAGACCCTATCTCTTCTCCCGATCACCTAGATGATGGTGTTTTGGGTGGATTACCCAATAATAAGACTCATTTGTCACCTCTCTGCTAAAGTTGTCTTGATCCTATTTCAGCCAGAGATTGAATCCTTTTTGTTAGCTCACAAAGCTCAAATGGCAAAGCACTAGAATCTCTCTCTCACTAAGTCGATCAAGTCAAATGTTACACAAATTCCAACTTCATTTGAACCAACTCAAGTGGCACAGGCTAAAACATGTGCTAACTAGGGTGTCCTACTGGTTACTATCAAAATGCAACTCAAAGATCGTAGTAACAGTTTTTGCAGATCATGTGGAGGACACTAGCTCTCAGTCTTTGGCCAAATGACAAATATGTCACAAGACATATATCACCAAAGGCTGGGACCTCTGATGCCCCCTTTTTCCTTTTTGCTATAGTTCTTCCTTTCTGAGCTAATGTTCCTTCAATACTTTATCTCAATGTTGCCATTCCATTCCCAATGCTCCTTTCCACCGTTTGAATCTGTTCCTTCATATCAATATTGCAGAATTGCTGACCAAAGTTGCATGCAACCAATTGTTGCCTCTCCTGCAACTGGCTGAGGTTTGGGCTTGGTATATGGAATTCAAATTCTTGCACCACCCATCATGTTACATCTAACCCATGCACCCAATTCAAAGCATTCCCTTGTACAGATCGATTCAAGTCATCATGGGGAATGGGCAAGGCCTGTCCATCAAATTGGTTGGTTTACACACTTCTTTGGTCCTCTACAGTATACTGCTTGTTCCTGACACTAAAAACTTGGTTAGCAGTAGTAAATTTGCTCAAGATAGTAATTTCATTGAATTTCTTCTCTTAAGCTGATTTCTTAAATCGAAGGACTTATACAGTGTTGCTAGATAGGGATGGCAAAATAGATTTGTCCGTCCTGTTTTGACCCATTCCACCTTTAGTCCGTCAAAACGGGGTGGGATGGTCTGGTTCACAATTATTGGCATTCCAAGAGATGGTCCTGCTAGTCCCTAGTGTGCAGAATTCCTCGATTTTATCCGCTACCTTTTTTGCAGTATATACTAATTTCTGTATCTCCCACGTTTAACTACTGTAATTCCTCCTACACATGTTAGTTAACCCACTGCTGCACTTAGTTCATTTGTGAATTGCCATTGTCAAGTTGTGCCTTTTTGTCTGGGGAAGGTCCATTACCATCCCTTTTCCCAATCCACTTCGATATACTCCAAACCTCTTGTACTCTGGTGGCTAACATGACATTTGCGGACCTCTAGCTGTAGATTCTTCTTGTGGCTATCTGTGCTTTCTCACTATAGATACTTGTTTTGTTGTGACATTTCTTTGCACATGCAGTACAACTTGAAGATAATTTTCCTTTTTGCTCTAACTTTTTTGTAGTCAAATGTCTATAAGTGGTGGAAACCAGGTGGGAAGTTCTTTTTGAAAGTTGCAAGGGCTATCAAATTCACCCCAATATGTTTTTGGGGAATTTTCGGGTGCGTGTTTCTTTTGTGATAACCTGCAAGCTTTTCTCTTACATGTTTTCACTAGCTTAGCTGCTAAGGGTTCCTCAAAAAGAAATGAATCTAACTAATATTTTATGCTTGAAGTTGAGGCTGTGAAATTGATTAAATTGGAGAGGATGAAACATTCGATATAATAATCCGACTTCAAAATGTGAAACCATGCCTTCCACATTTAAAATGCTATGGAGGATGATAGAGGTGAGAGTGGTTAATTTTGGCTATACAACTATTCAAGGATGGATGGAAATTCACTTAAATTTAACTTAACCATTCATTTTGGCTCTATGATCAAAATGAATTTCTTACATTCTCTTACCCAATATGCTTCCTTGTATGTTTAAATTAACAAAAAATGGAATTGGCACCTAATAATATTAAGCAAATATGTATAGGTTCAATAGTAAAAATGAACTGTTCGAGTTTTGTAGGGAATAAGCTAAAATTATTCGCGGAATGTGATTGGAAAAGCTGGATTCCCATGATGTTATGTAGGATGTATGCCTTTCTCTGATCAGCTTTGTTAACAGAATAAATTACATAAACCACCCTAAAATTTCTTGAAATTTCCCGAACTTTCTCTATTTTTTCTATCCTACAATAATTCCTTATTTATTTGAAAAACATTACATTGACATATTTTACTAATTCCCCTTAATTGTTTGAAACATTACATTGAGTTCTCCTGTAAGAAAGGTTGATGTAAAGGTAAAAGAACGCTGAGGAAATTTGTGTAATTTTTCGGTATTTTAGAGATAGTTAATGTAATTTCTCTTTTTCATTACTTGCCAGCTGTTTTGTTTGTGAAAATATTCATTCTATGTTGAAGACACATAGATTTGAGTAATATATCTGAGACGTATAGCCATTTATTGGTATAGAAGTATAGAGTCTGATTTAGCTAGCATGGAAGTTGCTGTTGTTATTATTAGTTTTTATTTTTTTAAAACAGATTTTCTAATATCCTTTTCAGATCTCCATTACCGTTCAGATATCCAATGCATGTAGTGGTGGGAAGACCAATTGAGCTCGCCAAAAACCCAGACCCAACCAACGAGGAGGTATGTGCTATTGGACAGCGTTTATTTTAAAATAGGACTCACAAGGATCCAGTCATTTAGAACCACACCCTATGGTTCAAATACCTCGTAAAATTTTATTATTAAATTTAACAAAGATGGAAGTGAAGAGGATTCGGATCTGTTTTGATCGATAAAGCCTGAGATTAGCATAATATGATGAATTGTATCTATGTGGGAATTGTTGTTACTGTATGATTGAAGTCTGCAAATATTGGGCTTCGGCTGGCTGAATTTCTAACCCCTTTCATTGTTTAAAACTGCTTTTAGGTTGCCAAGGTACATAGTAAGTTTGTGGAAGCACTTGAAGATCTCTTCGAAAGGCACAAAGCTCGGGCTGGCTATCCAAACCTTGAATTAAGAATTGTTTGACAAGGCCTACATTGTACCATATTTTCCATTGTTTTATTTATTTATTTATTATTTTTTGGTGATGGAGTTGTTGTCAATGTAAGTTGGCTATAAATTGCCTTTAATACGAACAACGACCATATTGGGAATGAAATTGAAGAATAAGGGGAAATAAGGTATAGTAGCTATCTTTGGTTAGGTTTATCTATTATTTTTTAGTATAAAATATATATTTCAGTTCATCACACGCATATACCTATAGCCTTAATATGGTGGATGGTGTCAGGTATTCGTCACTCTGGGCTCCCAGGCTTAATTGGCTCCTTTATTGACTTTATATCTTATCTCACTCAATTTAATTATATAAATGAAAAGAAAATACTTAATTTAGTACCCTTTTAAAAGTATAAAAAAACTTAATATGATTTAATAAATGTTTTATGAATAGATAAAAGAAAGAGATGCCAATTTTCTTTAGTTTATAATTTTTTTCCCTATTTTCTGTGTCTCACGTCACCGTTTCTTTTCAATTTTATTGTACCCGTTGACTTTTCCCATTTCGATACATGATTCAGTTGGGTCGGGTTGACGACAAGAATTTCTCAAACGAACCTGAAATTCTTAATTAGTTTGCATTTAAAATTTTCTTAATTAGGAGTGTTTATGTTTCGGATTAAGATAAATTTTATAAAATCAAGTTAATACCATATATTAATTTCAACATTATATATAGTTAAATTTAAAGCTTTATATACCGTTACACTTAAAATTAATATTTTACAGAATATATTCTTAGATAAATCATATGGATATAGATATAATATTGTTATATAAAATGTTATTTATTAAGTAAAAAAAGTGTATTATTATAGTTGTTTGAAAAACTATATTTTTTAAGAGAATACATTACATTGAGATGGATTGAATGGACTTGGAATATAACCTAAGTTTCTATGGAGTCTAATTATCTTAAAGTTTGAATCCACCTAAGTTCTCACTATTCCTTATTCCCATGCACAAATACTTATAATATTTAATAGAGGTAAACAAGTAAACAAATTTAAAGTTTTATAAAAATACTTTATTAAAGAGACTAATAATTTTTTCTAAAATTTTTCTTATAATAAAGATTAGAGCGTATTAATTATTCTTGTTACTGTAACCTCACTGAACAAGGTTTTAGAAATAAATGGTGTTGAAATTCAAATTTCTTAAATTACATGCTCTTAATTTTCTTAAAATGTTTTAGATTAAATCTAAAAAATTAAAATACCAGTTCAAACCAGTTTTCCATCGATTTTCGCTAATTTTGAAGTTGGTCAGTTCTTTACCAATTCTGAGATGCTTTGAATTTCTTGAGTATGCATCCAATCACCAAATCAATTCCTAATCAGACGTTGAATCAGATGCCTGGTCTAGTCTTCTAAACAAGGGATTCTAGTAGCTCAACGAAAGATAAAGAGAACCAAGTGAATTAATAGCACTAAATGTGAGAATTGAAGAGTAATTGCATAATACAAAAGTTAACCAATAAGGATTAAAGTAAATAAATGTTGAAGTAACATTCTAAAGTAATGATATAAAGAAGATAAATTAAAATCTATAATAGAAAAGGTTAGAGACGAATATTAAATAATTATACAAATATAAAATTAGGGTATGTGAATATTGGGTTTGATTTAGACTCTAATGGGTTGGTTACTTGGTTTGGAAAAAATAAAAAAGAAAAACACAAACTGATTACCTCAGATTGAGTCTCGAGATTGAAGATTTGAAAACCAATGAACCCCCAACCCTCACTAAAACTGGTTAGTATACTGTTATATATATATATATATATATATATATATATATATAAACCTGGTTAGAAATTTCCTCTTGGCAGCTTCTGAACTTCACTACACAGGCACCCTACTAGATGTTTGGCAAGAGGATGAACCTAAAACTTCATCAAATCCATTATTGGCAACCAAAAATCACTCTTTCATTCCCAACTTAATATTTTGGACTTTAACTGATAATTGTAGCTTCTGCTCCTCAATATCTTTTAAAATTGACAGCAAGTTGGACCTATAAACTTCACATTTCCTTCGAGCTCGGCCAAGTTGTCGTGTCAATTTCTCAATTGTATTGTCTTGGTCATCCTACAACAAAATTATATTGTTCGTTAGAAACAGAAGAAAAGGGAAAAAAAAAAAAAGTTTGGAGGATAAGTTGGCAGAGGGATTGGGGGTTAGGAAGATACAACAAAAGTGTTTGTTTTATATAATAGCAAATGAATAAGATTCACTATGATAAAGGGACCAAGATTTTCTTGACAATTTTTAATCTTTGAGAACTATTATTACCAATATAGAATTGTCTGCATGAAACAGTGCTGGAGGCAGAGTTGTTTAGGTCATGACAGGTTAAACCCCCTCAGTAACAAAATCTTTAATTTGTCTCTGCATTTTCCCTAAACCAGATATGGCAAATCTTCAGCATCTTTCATTTAGCCTGCTACAGCATATTGTCTAAGCAACCTTAGTCTGACGCCCTATCTTCCTTGATTCCACTCATGTTCGGATTCACTAACTCTCTGAAATCATAACAAACAGTTGTTTGGTAACTAAATTACATGGTCATCAAGAATACTCTAAATAGACATTCTGGAATCATATTTGACACCTCTATTCCACTGCCACCCCCAAACACCTGCATCATCTCCAAGTTTCCAACTTCATTCAACATACTCTAATCCCCCACTCCTTTTTATTATTTTAAAGAATATTAATTATGGATCATGAACCATCCTTGATACTTCCATCTTATTAATTTTAAAATTATCCATTACAAAGATTATTGCACTTTTGGTAGCACTGCTCATCACCTTCAAATACTGTCCCAAGTAAGATATCACGGAATCAGGAATATTTAAATAGATTTATACCTATTGCTCCTTGTAACACAATTCTCTCTTCAATTAAAACAAAAATCAGAAAAGGCTGAACTTAATTGCATGAGAGTAATTTTCACTGGCGCTATTGAGTTTTGAATGAGGATAGCATAATTCTCATCAGATACTGATGTCTCTCTACTCTTCATAAATTATTTTCCTTCCCTACTGTTTTTTTTTTCTACATTCATTGTTGATTGCACTATTCACATCACATCTAATGGTATCAGAAATCTTTGTCCTACATCAACTAGGTTTCAACTAACTTTAGCATGTCAGTTTAATACAGTACTTATGATATTTTTGAAATACAAACCAGATTGTAGATACCAAAGGCCCCGATTAATAGTTGTTCTAGATGAAAATGAACAATAAATTGGCTGAAAATCTTTAGCTATTATAACTAGCAGAAAGTAGCACGATACAGCATATGTACAAACAAGGAACAAGATCATAGAGACTATCGTTTAAAAAAACAAATTCCAAATTGAAACGGAAGAATTAACTGAACGCACTGGAGAAAATCATTTCGTACAAATTGGGAGAGTTTATAATATTGCACCATTTTATTGTATATCAGTTTAACTGGTTCATAAACAACCTTTAAGAGACCATAGGTAAAGTGGAACTTTTTTCCCTTTTAAATAAAAGGTTAGAAGAATTACTGTCCTCTCGTATAAACTACTTTACTTTAAACTTGAAAAGAACATGATAATACAAAACTATCACTATTTAAAAAATACGATTGGCTTATCAGAAACTCTACGAACAACAGAAACAGAAATGTTCCAGCAGGAATGCTATATCATAAATTACTAAAAACAACAGACCTTATATGAAGATTGCTGTGAACCAAATGGAGGATCACTACCACTTGTAGTTGCTTCATTGCTCTGATGAAAGTCTTCTTCACAAGATCCATTTAAAATAACCTGTCTTCCACCATTTTTTGTTGCAAGTGCCACTTTATTAGCAGCCTCCTGAAGAGCACTCATTGCTACATCATAAACATCCGAAGAGGTTACTCCCTCATCAACATACTTAAGGGCCTCTAGACGAAGATTGTTGAATCGGATAGTTCGAGATTCTTGGGCACCATTTGACAAATTAGAAGTACGCTCATCCAATATAACACCACTCTTAGCAATTCTGGTCCATCTTTTTAAAATATAATGAGATGGTAACGTAAGAAGGTTTGTTACTCTAAAAACAGTCAATATATGTCTACAAACTAGACCAGAAAACTCAAACATCTGGCAGCTACAAGTAGCTTTCATCTCAAAAGAGTTAAAGCTGACAAAGTAGGCCCGGTGCATTTCCCCATATTTGGCTACTCTATACACAGTAGTCGATTCTTCTTCGTCTATTTTGTTTGCCAAGAATGTTAATGTCTCAACCAACTCTTCTTGAAATTTGATAAACAATCTCCTTGTGTAGACTCCTGCTGTCTGTTTCTCCATAGGTGATGGAGTCTTCAGAATTGGAGTAGTGTTAATTGTGTCATAGTCAGCTTTGACTTCTTTTTCAAAACGGCTCTCCAGAGCCTTCTCATACTGCTTGACAAAAAGCTGAAGTGTTGTTGATGCATTGATATATCCATCAAAATAAGAGTTTATGCTATCACTTCGCTGTGTTATTGACATTTCTGCAAAAAATGTGTCCCTCAAGAAAACCGGTACCCACTGCCGCCTATCACCATAAATTGCTTGGAGCCATTCATGTTCCTTGAGATTATACCTATCAATTAGAGAGTACCAACAAGACTCAAACTCCTCAATAGACTCTGTCAGGTTAATGCATTTATGGAGGTCAGCTTCAAAATTATGATGTTCAGAAAGCACATGAGACAACTTCTCTTGACACTCTTGAAAAATGTGCCACTTGCAAAATCGGTGACGAGTACCAGGAAGGACATGGTTAATGGCTGCACAGATCACCCTATCATGATCAGTAGTAATTGAAACTGGAGGTCTATCTGACATTGCTTCAAGCCAGGTTTTGAAAAGCCAGACAAAAGATGCCTCAGATTCATTTATCAGGAGAGCGCAACCAAATAATACAGGCTGTCCATGATGATTTATGCCAGTGAAAGGTGCAAAAGGTAATCTATAGCGGTTTGACCTATATGTTGTATCAAAGGTGACAGTGTCACCGAAGTAAGTGTAATTAGTCCTAGCCTTAGGATCAACCCAGAGGATATTACTCATGCAGTGATCTTCATTACCTTGTACAGCATAAAAAAATGAAGGATTCTCTGCTTGTTTTCTCTTCAAGTAATCCAAAAGAATTTGAGTGTCACCTCCAAGGGTCCTTTGCCTACTACTTCTCATATAATTCCTACAGTCACGCTCAGTGAAACCAATATTGCTGATTCCACCATATTCTTTTATTAATGCAGACATTATTCCACTAGGGCCTATTCCAGCACCCTGCAAAGTATCAATCAATGACTTAGCCGGACCCGAAACATGGCGATGAGAACGAAGGCAATGCACCTTGTCAGGCGGAACCAAGTCATGATTATGTTCCTTGACAAATGAAGAAACAACCCATCTGCCAGAATCTTGAATTTTCACAATTAACATGGCCTTGCAACCAACGCGGGTTTCGGCCCGAGGTCGCTTGACTCTGCCATCAACCAAATGCTTCTCCTTCTCCGCACGAAAACCTTCCTTGGCACACACAAAAGACCTCTGAATTATAGAACCGTCACGCCTGGAGCGTCGAGACATGCTCACCCGCGTGCTAAAGCCAACACGGCGAGCATAGGAATTATAGAAGGCCTTTGCAGCCTCTTCGGACTCAAAGTCCATACCTTGACAAGGTTCAAGATTATTGTCCCCTCCAAAAATGTGAGATCCCACACCAGCAGCAAGAACAGCATTAGCAGCAGCAGGACTATAATCAATATTAACAAGGTCCTCCTCATCCTCAACAGGGTGCTCCATGTCAATGGTAGCATCATCCCCCAAACCAATCATATCAAATTCAATAACCTCGGTGCTTAGACTCAAAGGCTCAAACTCCATTTTACAAAAAAAAAAAAAAAAACAGAAATCAAAACAGCATTAACCTCTCATCAAGACACTATCTTTGTTGAAAAATTAGAGAGTAAAGGTGCATTATAGAAAAAGGGTTAAATGGTTCAAATGATTAAACACAACGGAAACCATGAAGAAAACATACCAATCCTTCATAATCATCATTTATGTGCATGGGTGACACAGCTTGACCTCTATGAAACCATCACAATGGAGATGCATGCATGATTGGAACAGAGGAAAGAAGAATGGACGAATGAAATTGACATGAAGATGGCGGAGACTAACTATTCATGGGAAAAAAAACAATTTAGAAAGAAAAATTGGAAAAGGAAAAGGGAAAAGGGACAAGGGACAAGGGCGGATCTTGGAAAGGAGAGGGAGTGGGAGTAGGAGTAGGCGTTGAAGTTGAATGAAAGTGAGAAATGAGAAGCAAGAAAGATTGTGTTTAAGTGCTTAGTAGAAGTGGGTGGAACCAAAGTTGGGTTTTGGCTGAGGTAAGTGGAAGAATGAGAAACAGCAATTACTGTGTTCACGGTTACACTTCAACAGGTGGAGAGAGATTTGAAGAGGAAGAGGAAGATGAAGAAGAGAAAATGTTATATTCAAAGGAAGATGATGTTAACATGCTTTTGCAATTACCTAGTCACTTGCAGGGAGGTTTAGGTTTGTTGGAGCATGTAAAATAATTTTATTGGAAAATAAAATATGGAAATAAAAACTATTAATGATCGATCATCTGTGACTTATTCCAAACAGAATTTACCAGTGTAAAAGTTAATAAAATTAATATCATTTTTTTATTTTTATTAATAAGCATCAACATTTTAATTTATTATTACATCAAGTCAATATTTTTATCATTATAAAAATAGTTTTTAAATTTATTTTATGATTATTTATTTTGTCTAAAATACTTTTTAAAATAAAATTATGAATCAAATTTTTTGAATTAATTTTTAAAATTATTTTTAGAAAATGGATATTGAAAATTATTGTAAGGAAATTGTTTTTTAAAATTATTTTTAGAAAATTGACTTTTAAAAGTATTTTTAGAAAATTGATTTTTAAAAACTACAAAATTAAATTAAATCAAATCAATCCCAATAATATAAAAATAGAGAAAACTTTTGATACATAGTAAAATAAAAAATAAACAATTAATTATAATATTACAAAGTAAAAAATAAATAAAAATAATTATTTTAAAAAAAATTAAATATTATAGTGAGTCAAAAAAGTCTTGTTTCCATTAATAAAAATAAAAAAATGATATTTTTATAAGTTTTTCTTTAACTAAAAATAAAGAACAATTTTTCTTTTTTAACATAATTCGTGTTACAAATAATTAAATATTATTATTACTTATTACTATTATATATATATATATATATATATATATATATATATATATATATATATAAGAGAGAGAGAGAGAGAGAGTAGTGGAAGAAAAGCTAATGTGTCCACTTTTTTAAAAAGTAATTATAAAAATAAGTTAAAATATTAAAATAGAATTGAAAAACTGAATAGAGTTTATATTTAATAAAACAATTATAAAAATATTTATTAAAATAATAAAGATAAAATTAAAAGATTAAAAAATTAAAAAAATAAAATAATTATATAATATGAAAAGTGAAATAAAAAAGGAATTATATACAGTAATTACACAACTGAAACCTTTGTTAATGATATTTATATGAAAGAAATTATTTTTTATAACTGTTTTTTATGTTATTGTCTACAAAGTTATATTATTTTTTATTAGATAAAAATATTTATTTTTATTGTATTATAAAAAGTAAAAATAAAATAAAAATAGAAAAAATAAATTTGAGAAAAAGCACTAAATAAAGCACTAAAATTTTTTTTTTTCAGTTATTTAATTTTTAAAAATGAAAAAACTTCTTTATAATTTATATGAGACAAATTTAAACAATTTATTTAATTGAACTCTGTTTATTTAAAAGTATAATAATGGTGTGAACTTATCAAGTATCTTCTCTTATAAAAGAATTATATTAAGAAATAACCATTTATACCATCTATGTAAAAATAATTAATATTTAACTAAACACATATACTTGGTACGTTTTGTAATAAAGTATTCCATATAATTAATAATTATATTTAATAAAATAATAATAAGTTAATTATTATATTAGCAAATATAATTAACAACTAATTATATAAAACAAAAATAATTATTAATATATATTTTGTATATATTTCATCCTTTTGACGAAGCTTGTATAGAACACCAAGACTGTTGATAGTTCCAGTGTTATACTATTAATAATCTTGGCAATGAATATAAAATTAAGCCACAAGCCACATGAAGTAGGTTGACCATAAAGTGACTGCAACTGACGCCAAAACATACGTCCACAGCATGATAACAGAACATTCACCTTCACCAGCTCCAAACAACTGGGCAATGGTGCCTGAACATAGTTTATTATGTCAAATATACATACTTATGCACATGCAAATGAAAAAAATATTCATCTTTCAATTTTATGTGTATATCAACTATAAGAATATGGATATCTAATTTTTAATAAATTATAGTCAACAAATAAAGAGTGTGTTAAACATGGAATGTTTTTAATATTTCTGTCATCATGATTATCATGTAGTGAGAAAAATGAAAAGACATGTTGTGTGAGGTTTGATATTATACTTATAGACATTGCTGGAGGAAGTGCATATTCAAGAAGAAGCACAAACTGATATAAGGGATCTGGTTGCACCAAACCCAATTGAATTGCTCCTGTGATAACTAGAACACCCAGAATTGGCAGGATAATGTATCGAACAACTACTATTCCAACAATTGTCCAAAACGAAGTATTTGCTCCCTTCAAGCCTGCTCCAATATTCATCCCAGAAATTAAGAAATTATTCAGAAACTGTCATTGCCAAAAAGGAGTAAAACTAAAAAGGCATTGCTATGTAAGAAACTATTGCCTTTAAGGAGGTTTGCTCCCATTATAAGAGTTATAACTGGGATGGCTGCATCACTGCATGTAACAACATAGTGTAAGGAATGAAATCTCTCACAAAATTAAGGTTCAAAGCGAATTCAATGATCACCAATGAAAAGCAACAAATTGGTTGTCTTAGCGTTTCTAAAATACAAGCTTTTATCCATTGTTTTCTTGAGATTTTTAATTTGAAAATCTTAAGAACGAAGTTTTGAGATGCATACACACCCCAACATGGTAACAGAGTCTTCAATCACATAAAGTGGAGCACCTCTGCCAATCATCAATTTACGTATAGGGGGAATCACCCCAACTGTAAAGCCAACAATCTGCATTACCAAAAACAGAAGTTCATTTTCTCTTGTATTCATAACGAGTTGAATATTTTTAAAGGGTTTAGATAACATAATGCTCATATGATGAGTTTTATAACAGTAGTTAGTTTATAATTTTTTGTTTTTGTTAATTTTATAAACTAATTTGTACAGAAAATTAAATTTTCTCTTTCATCATTTTGTTTTTCTAATGATCTCTCTATTATATTCTATCTTCTTAAACTTGTGTTCTCCATCATTTTTGCGGCCACTTTAAACAATTCACATCCTATATATATCTGCATCGCAGTATTTCACTTACATAAGTTCAGTTCAAGAACAGGGAAATGTCCAAGGAAAAAACATTGTATCATACCGATCCAATAGTTGTTGGTGAAAATACGGCTTCGAAATTGGAGTTGGATAAAAGCTTTCCTAATAGGTCATTGATTTTAGCTGAGATTGGTACCTGCTATGAAACATCGGAAACCTTTTTTGTGTTTATGGTCATTCCACAAATGAAAAGAAAGAAAAATTGTTTAGACTAATAAGGATCTTTACTGCTCTTGGAAAGGTAATTCTCCTGCATAAGATAGAAGCTCATACGAACTCTAGAATCATGAGAAGTTGAGAAACAGAAAATTTTGGGATAATCAAGAGAAAGATGCTAGGTGATACATATAAGTGTTATTGGTAGCAACCTTCAGTTTCTCCTCGGATTCATTTGACGAAAGCAAAAGGGTGTATGCATCACCATCCATGCTGTCCTCTGCTGGATTTTTGGGGTCTGAGGATTCTTCCTCTGGGAGATAATCTAGTATCTCTCCTGAAGCCTCCAGTCTGAAGGAGCTGGTTCTATACTCTTCTGTGGGAACTATACTTGAGGAAACTCGCATTATGTTGTAGACATAAATCCATATGTAAACAGCTCCAACCTACAGTTTCCCAATGAACACTTCAGAAAACAAAAGGGAAACAAATATAGCCAAATAAAAGTTATCATTTTCCAAGTTTTTTGTTGGAAAACGTAACGATATAATATGAAATGATGAAGTTACAAACCGCCATAGAAAGTGAAGCATAAGCCATTCCATTTTGATAACAGATATTGGAGTCTCCAAAAGGACTACCTTTGTCTTTACATATAGCCGGGATAATGATAATGGGCAAGTTTCCTAAATTTCCTGTTCATGTAAGTCTGAAAATAAGCTCACACATGATTTATCCAGCAAGAACCGATGCTACAGCTTGAGCTTTAGATAAAATATGAAACATTTCAAACATGACTGAAAGAAGCAACATGACAACAAAAAGTAAGAAGCTTTTGTGGAACTTGCATGTAAATTAAAAAAAAAATGAATACATGTTATATAAAAGAATTGAGTGAGACTATAAGACAGTGGTATTGAATTATCTAATAATTTCTCCTCATTAACATTTCTCTCCATGTTTCTTGTTATCACACACTTCGCCGATCATATTCATCACTTATCTTTTCTTTCTTCCTGTTTCTCTTGATGGAGACACAGAGTGGTGTTCACTGATCTTCTTCCTTAAGACTGCTCAGGTCCACTTTTTATTGACATAAAATCAGGTAGCCAAGTAGTTATAGGGGAAATAAGACAGTTAAAGAACCTCCAGCTATCTTCAGTGGAATTTAATAGTGAAAGCATCTCACAGATTACAAGTTTGGCTTCCCGAATTCTTTTATTTATGAAGAGAAAAATATACCTGCAGAACAAACACCAATTATTAGTCCTTCCAAGTGTTTGGGAGCCCTTGTTAATTTGACAAGGATCCATCCTAAGACAGAGCCTATTATAAACGTGAGGAGAATATTGACGGGCATGAACCACCTAAATCACAAGAGAAAATGTTAGAAACCATAATTTAAAGGAACAAAGCCAAATCTCAATCAACTCAATACTCACAATAAAACAACATTCTCAAAAGTAATCGTGTCAGCCAAATTACCACCCACCAGTGCAGGATAAAGCACGTAATGCACGATCTGTCATCATGGATAAAACACTGTTGTCAACAACATCATACAAATGGAGACAAGAAAAAAGAGAAAAGAAATTCATTCAGAGTTCATGAAGTTACATGATTCACTTGTATCCTTGCATCTTTTCCCAATAAATTTATGTTATCCAGTGCAAGAACTAAGCCAACTGCAGTGATTAGCAGTACTTTAATCACCGGCATAGATGCCACCCACAAAAGCTCCACAAGTCCCATTTTCACGATTCTTCCAACGAAAATATGTGCTAATTACAAACCCTACACGCAAACAAAACTTAAGTAAAGCAAATATATATTAAGCAAACAATTAAATAATAAACCACTCTTGAAGAAACAAACTTCAGATTCATGCTATTACTATCAACAGATGTTAGACTTTGTCGTAGAAGAGCATATTTTCATTTCATGGGAAGTGGAAGTGAAGAAGCACAAAACTATATTTTCAATATCATATATCTTCGGTCAGACCTATGTGATGCCCACTGATCATGTATGACAGATAAAAGAAACATAAGTGTATGAATAAAGAACAAATAAAACCAAAAGAAAAAAAAAATAGAGGCGATAAAATTTTACTTACTTGCTTTAGAATATACAGGTCAATGGTCATAATCCAGTATATATGAACCACATGCTACTTCGTTCTATCGGAATTATGAAGATGACGAGGGAGAAAAACGCTGAATAGGACAAAAAGAAATTGGCCTGTGGCAACAATGGCACCAGATGACATGAACATGGATTCTAGATGATTGGACGGGACCGATGTATTTATGATAACATTGCCACTCATGGCATTTGCAATGGTAATAATTTAGAAAACACAACAATAAACAATTCCTACTTTTGATGATGCTTTGTGGTCCATGATGTTTGGTGACAAACACTTGAGGTGAACAAAATTAAGATTTATTATCCAAACACTTTCTGGTTCAATTTTTTGTGCATATTTTATTAGTTGAAGTTTATCATAGATCATAGAAAATCATAGATCTCACATCACACAATTATAGATAAAAGATTCTAACTCAAGACTGATTGTTCAAAAAGAATAGTTTTGCTAGAAGATAAAAGGAAAAGATTAAATATGAATATAATAATCCATTTTACACACTAAAAAATCTTCAAATAACTTTTGGTGTCTTGTTGTTTACGAATAAATATTTCTGGGATTTATGTTAATTTGAATTTATTGATTTTTTTGACTTGAACTCATGGATTCTAACAAAACTTTCTCTTTTTATTTGATCCGAAAGAAGAAAAAATACATGTGACATGTTTTGTACTCATAATTTCTAATATTATTTATAATTATTATTATTAGATACCATAATACTAAATAAAATAAATTAAGATAAATATATAATAAATTTTTTTATTATTATAAAAAAAGCATATACATAAAAGATAAATTATTTTAATATAAAAATCATTAATTTTATTTTAGTAATAACAATCTACCATACATCTTTTTATTTAATTGTTAATTTTTATTCTTAATTTATTCTTAAACAAATCTCTTTAATATTTATATTTGTAATAAATTAATAAATTATATTAATATAATTAAATTATTTTAATAAATAATATATTTTTATTTATCTAATTAAATTATATTTGTTTAAAGTAAATAATATTTATTAAATCATCTAATTAATACTTTTTTATTTTAAATCAATCATATCAATTATAAACATTTTTTTCATTTCTATTTATTTCTACTCTATTTCCTTCAATCTAAACATCTCCTTTTATCCTTTCTCTCTCTTTTTTTTTTCCTCCTCGCTCTAAACACAACGGTACTCTTTAAATGATAAGATAAATTTGAGGAAGTGGAAAATGAAGGATTTGAGGGAAAAGAAAAGTGAAAATGAAGTTGTTTGGATTAATCAAAAGATGATAAAAAAATGTAAAGAAGTGAGAAGAAAGTTTGTGAGAAATTTAATTAATGTGAATAATAATAAAATATTTTAATAAAAAAATTTAGAGATTACCAAACTATCTTGATGTAAATTATTATTATTAAAATTTAAAATATTATAAATATTTAAATTATTTTATATATATATAATAATTATTATTAAAATTATTTTTATAATAATTATTTTTATAATTATAACTATTAGAATAATTATTAATAATATTATTAATATAATAATATTTATTTTATTTATATATTTATTGTTATAAATATTATTATTATTATTAAATAATTTTTAAAGTATAATAATTTTATGGAGAAAAATTAATAGAGAAAATTAAAAGAAAATTTTTAAAAATAAAAAATATTTAAAAAATAAAATTTATATTAATTTAAATATTTACTTAAAAGTATTTAAAAAAATAATTAGTACATAATTTATTTACATATGATTTTTATTAAAAAATCATATAAAATTGTAAAATAAAAAAATATTAATAATTAAATTTGGTAACGAATGAGTTGTTGATGAATGAGAAATTAATTTATGAGTAAAACAGTAATTTTTGTTTTAACATGTTGACTTTCTTAACTTTTATGGGGGATTGTTTCTACTTGCATCTCATCACCCATTTTTTTATTACTGTTTCTGGTGGAATTTCGATCGATTTCGACTCTTAAGATGTTTTGATACTAACCAAAATTCTACCACGTAAGTTCTTTTTACTTAGGCTAGCAAATTAATCTTCAATCGAAATGCATATGAGGATCGACTCTTACCAAGTATCGAAAATGCTACTTTTTGGTGTTTTGTGTTTAAGATGCAGAAAATAGTAAAATGTCGAATCGAAAAACAACACAGGATACTAAATTGTTGAAACCCATAAACTGCGGAAACCTTAAAAAGTACGTTAAATGTAAATGACAGGGAATCGAAAGACCGGAAATATAAACGGCAAGGAGTCAAGATAGCAGGAAATATACTGGAAATCGAAATTGCATTAATGTTAAAGGACAAGGAAACTTAAACGCGGAAACTTAACTTTTCTTGAATTGAAATGACAGGAATCGAAAGTACAAAACATAAAATTGCTGAATATAAGGTGCATCAAAACAAATTACCAAGGAAAGTAAAGAAAGCGGTAAAGGTACTCGATGAGCATGGAAATCCAGATTGCCAGAAGCTTCATGGTGTTCGTCATTTTCCGGTAGACTTCTCACTACTAATTCTGTTCTCTACCAATTTTCTGCTCTCCTGTTCCTTCCTCCTTTGCTCTATTTATAGGGCATCATTCAAGCCTTTCAGGAGCAGTTAACAAAACTGCTACCACGTTCTGCGTGCATGTTGCAGTTTATCTTCTACGGTTTCCCACGTTCTCACTATCTTCGACTTCTATTATGGTTTAGAAACTGCTTCCTATGTGTGTTTGACTATTCTTCCTTTCACGGTTTTGGCCAAAGTCTCGATGTCCACGTAGGTTGGCTTTCTTCACTCTCGATTTAGTGTTTTCGAGAACTCCAAATTGCTTACGATCCCTTTTTAACCTTGATCTCATATAACTCTAATTTCTTAGTTTTTATTCGACAATAGGTATTTGGTTATCATTCACTCGATTCTCGATTGTGCTTCTCGATGTTATGTGCTACGTATTTCTAATTAGACATCGAATGATTTTTTTTTTTTATCTATCTTATCGATTTATCAATCAGTCACATTTCTTTCCTCGATTTGCCACTTACAATTACATTTATGTTGAACCGTTCAAATCACCTTATACCCTTCCCCTCTGCCAAGAAAGATGCGGAACCAAACCAAATGATTAACCTTCTATGATTCTCGTACCCAAAACATCAACCTTCGATATTTTCCAGGAAAGATGAGGAACCAAACCAAATGATTAACCTTCTATGATTCTCGAATATCAACCTTCGATGTTTTTCAGGTGTGTATAGTATAATGCTATAAGCCCTGAAACTTTCGTATCTGACGTTGCATTATTTTTATCGTTTTTTCTTTAGGGACAATTTTTTTCAAATTTATTAAAATGGTATAAATTTTTAAAAAATTACAAATATAGGTAAGAAATATGAAATAAAATCGTGTTTCATTTAAGTTTTTATTTTTTAATTTTTTGAAAAAAGAACCGTAATACATAATACGATTTCTACATGAATTTATTGCTAATTTTATATTATAATAAATATAATATTATTATAATTAATAAAATAAATAATAATTTTAATAATAATATAAATTAAATTTTTATTATTATTATTTAATTTGTTATTAATAATATAAAAATATATTATTATTAATTATAATAATATTTTAATAATTATTATAATATTAAATTACAATTCGTATTTAATATTATATAAAATTCGTGTTGATAACACGACTTTTTATTTAAAGAAAAGCCTTAAATTTGTTATATAATGTGATTTCTTCCTATAAAATCGTAATTAATAACATTACATATTTATATTCATAATTTTTTTTAAATTTATATCATTTTATAAATTTTAAAAAAATTATCTTATTTGATTAAAAAACAATTTTTATATTTGAAACTTTGGAATGAGGCTCCATTTGTATAAAGACGCATGCGTCACATGGTGTAAGAGAACAGTGTAGACACACGTCCTTGTCGTCTTAGATGTTGAGTGTGATATATGAACAATATTGTTATATAATTAAAACGTTTACATAATATTACAAATTTTGGTAAATGATTCATATAATTTATTCAAATCCTAACAAAGCACCATGGAATCTATGTATATAGTTGCATTTAATTTCAACAATGTTGACGCATAGATTTACATCTTGCTGCTAAGAATGTCAACGATTGTGAGATGTTTGGTCAATTATTTTTCATAAAATTGTGAATTATAAACTTATATTGAATGAAATATAAATAAAAAAAATTATATTAAGTGAACTATAAATGATTGAAATAAATTTGGCAAAATTATGATAACACAAATAGATTGAAAAGGGATTAATGTTAATAACAGTTATTATTTTCAATTTCTTCTCATTATTTTTTTTTTTTCATTCATGCAATGGCTTCTCATATTCTCCTTCTATGTTAAAAGTTTCGAAGCTGTTGTTTTGTGCATCTCATAATTATATTAAATTTTATTTTTATATTCATTTTATTTTTATTTTGTAAATATATTTTAAATTGATTTTTTTTAATATATTTTAAAATATTCAATCTATAATATATCTATCCAACATTCAATCTAAAATATATTTTTAAAAAAATCAATTTGAAAATACTGAATTTGA